ATGGCAGGAGACACCAAGACAGATGGGACTTTTCCATGGTCAGTCTGGTGGCTTTAGGATGGTGGGAGTGAGTGACTCTCCTCACTTTGTCACCAGCGCTGGCACTCCGCCCAAGCTTTGTACAAACTGGAGCAAAGCGCAGGCAAGTAGTTTGTGCCCAGTGGAAACAGCGGATGTACGGGAACTTGTCATGGTGCTGAGCATGCCCCCAGGAAAGCACTGGATTCTCAAGACTGGTATTTGAGCTGTTTCCTGTGCCTGTAACCGCAGGACTTTGATAAGCTCCAGAAGCCATTAAATATTCAAAAGCTTCGTTGTATCTACTGTTGGATGTTGGTTAAACAAAAGAAGGGGGAAGGCACGATCATATGAACTTGGCTCACTATATTACACAACAATGGCTGCATACACCAAACAGACCACACACACACACACACACAAATCAGTTTAAAACTTTACTATTCGAAATAGCACATAAAGTTTCTCCACGGCTTTCCATGTGTAGTCCGCACACAGCCTCTGCTGTGTATTTCCCCCCTCTTTATCCCCTCACAACTGCAATGACTAAGCCAGCAGGAATGTCTACCTTATATACTTAAAGTGGCAGACACAATTCTACTAACTCCATGTTACGAGAGGTGTAGAGATCAATAAATCTAGTTTATTCTTTGCAAACCCACCGTAGAACCACTTTGCACAAATGTATTTAATGAGTGGTTATTTCCAGGAAATTTGAATGAAATTAATCAGCAGAGAGCCAGGAAAACAACCAAAAGTAAACTGGCTAGTCAGTGTGTAACCATACTCTTACAAAACACCAGGTATGGGCGAATTTGGAGAGGTGGTGATTAAATCCCTGCAAACACTAAGGTGTTAAATAATCATTGTTTGAACATCCAAGGCATAACATTAGCTCAAAAATGAAGTCGGGCCAACTTCCGAGTCCTTTTCTTAGCCATCTGCTGGATTTTTCCATGGAGCAATAGGATAAAGAAGGTGCAAGCACTGATAAAACGTGCAACCTTGACATTATCGTCATTTCCTCTTAATTTACCAAGCGAAACATCTATTACTGAAAGACTCAAACACTGCATACCACAGAGTTATAATTATTGGTGGAGAGATGATCATTATGCACTGTGAGAGACCAGAGGCCCATTAGAATTGAGATTTCAAATACTCAAGGACCTAACACCGTCTGAAACCCAAGCTTTGTGACATTTTATATTTTCCTTAGTGGAAAAAAAATACTGTTTACTCATTTTCACAAACTACAGGACTAGCTGTTTAAAAAAAGCACTTTCGACTTATTTTTAAATGGCACCGTTTTGACACGTTTAGATAAGACCGACTGGATGCCACAGTCAGAATGATTCATTTTGCTCTTTCTATTATATGTGGGGAAGATTTGTGAAAACTTAACAGCATTGGGGCTATTACTCATCAGGAAGAATACTAGATCGTATCTGCCTGTGAGACCTTGCTCTACAGTAAAATAGTGGTTTTAGGAGGGGGTTTGTTTTGTTTTTGTTTTTATTAAAAAACCCACTTCAGTTCTGAAGTGGATTCAGGTCAGAGCACTCAGGCCAGAGATATCAAGTAGGTCTTTGGCAGAGAGAGAGCAAACATATTACTAAATGCAAAGTAATGCAAAGTCTCCGAGACTGGTGCAAAGCTCTCCCAACAGCCAGGGCTCCAGAGCAAAGTCTGTGGTCTCCTCATGCTAAAGTTTTGACTTACCCTAATGTCCCACTACTCTTAAAAACAATAAATAAATCATTATGACGTGCATTTGTTAATATAAAAATAAAGCATGGCAGACGTGCTGCTTTAAATTAGACAGGGTAAGTTAAGGTTGAGAAACCAGACCGGAGTGCCTGCAAGGCTGAGCATACCATAAATGAATATTCTATTGCATAAAGACGTGAGCTATGTGAGAACCAGCGGGTAAGAGAGTGTGTGCCTCCCAGTGGAGCTATGAAGACTAGCCGGCCCTAAGACCAGCCGTGACTACAGCGGCATGCTTAGTGTTCATCTGCCTAATTGCAACTGCCTATTGACTATGCGGATTTGGATAAGGTCCAGTAAAAAGCAGGACTGTCTACAGCAAACACAGAGACCTGAGGAGGACATCTGAAGCAGGCCACACTTCTTTAGTCATGGGATCCCCCATAACTCAAAGCAAGCAGCTGGCAGCGTGGAAGGAGCCAGGGTCTCGCCAAACAAGCTTGGTGGTTCTGACCAGTGTGTGTGTGTGTGTGTGTGCATGTGTGTGAGTAAGTGCCTTTCGACAAGTAAACAATGAAGAGATATCTGACAGCCGGAGCTGTTAACAGCCCCTGATAAGCCCTGCAGAAAAGAGTTAGGTGAAAATAGAAAACGAAACACCAGCAGAACAACTGACAAGGACAATCAGAGATGAGACTGAGGCTAAGTGAAGTGGAGAACGACAGTTAGGAAGACGAGAACAGACAACATATACAAAGAGGAGGGAGTAACAATGAGGAAGGCAGAGAGGATATACGAGGAAGCATGGGGGTTATAGATGAGTGGGAGGAACGGGGCCTTTTTCAACACTCTGTACACTGCCCTTCAGCGAGACATTGGCATTGAGCTTGTATACTTGACATTTGTCTGACATTTCCCCTCCATGCCCCTCCTCCTGTAAACAGCTTCTCTATGCATCTCTCCCTGCCACTAAAAGGCACCCAGAATTTCTGCTCCAATCTGCACTTCTCTGCACAGTCACTCCTACTCACGTCCATCCTGTCGTAAATCCAGATGTAACGCAACATATTAAAGCTCACTTCTGAGAAACCCTGGTCTAATTCACCCAAACCTGGTGTGGGAAACAGTATCTGGTGAGCGGACAAACATTTGGAAAGGCCCAGAGGGCAAAGCAGTGAGCTAGGCAGACATCACTCCCTCTTCATGTTGTGTAATTAAAGAGGAGACCGGGCTGTATTGACTAGAATACCACTGCATGCCCTTGAAGGAACATCTGTACTGGAGAAAAACAAGGCAATTATACAAAGGGGCGGAGGAAGGAGGAGAGAGGAATCTTAAGCGGGGAGGAGAGACACATCAAACCTTTATAAAAACAAAGACAGGCACAAAGCCTGGAATATTACAAGACATCACAGATCTGCTCTAGCTTCATTGTATCTTATTTTTGCCTCAGTAACTCCTCCTTTTTTACCACTGTGTAGCTAAACCCAGACCCTTTATCTGCAGCCTTGAGACCTCAAGGCCTTCTAGATGAATGCTTTTACCCTGACCTCGCCTGGGCCTCTGAGAGAAGTGAACTGGTTCAAACAATGCTCCGGCTCTGCTTCTCAAGTCCGCTTTGTGAGAACAACAGAGGGTTTCACCACAAAACCCCACATAGCAGCTAGTGTGGGAAGAACAGACGTGACTAAAAAGTCATCACAGGCGATTTGCACCTTTTACTATGTATGGTATTTGTAAAATATGCCCATTTAAGATTTCAATGTTTTTGAACAAAGACAACCATACAAAACCTTGTTCATTTTCATTGTGTATTGATCAAAGGGCTGATAACATACAGGGAGCACCAGCAGGTCACAAAACGCACACAGTGAACACCATTGCTTTCCTATAGAGATCGACTTGGTCAATAGGAAAACGCAGCAAGCTTGATTTCCACTGTTTATTCTGAGGTTCCCTGAAGGGATGAAGGACAGGGGTGTTTGTGACTTCAAACTAATCCTAGCACCTGCACAGATGCCTTCAAAAATGGGCAGGGGGAATATTAAAAAAAACTGTTTTCACACAAAAATGTCATCATGTGCTAGTTTTAGTTACAGATGGTTAAAAAAACTCAAACCTCTGACGCATAGATCGATGAGCCCTTTTGTAAATGTGTACCTGACTCCAACTTTGAATAAATTTTCATGACCTGTAACTGAACTTCAAACCAGAGACAATGTTGGACCAAATCAGTCTTCAAGCTAAGCCTTCATGTTGCTCCCATCTAGACACCCTTATAGTTTTGTGTGCATTTTGTGACATCATCTGCCCGCAGGCAGGCAGAAACACCTGACAAAGTAGTTGCTGGAATATATAAGTGTCCTCCAGTACCAAACAGCAAACAGCAATAATTACTTAAATTCATGGAAAGAGTGGGTGAAATGTGTTAGACAACAACAACATAAAATTCCTCCAAAAAGCCTCTTTGCTCATCTTTTTGGCCTATAAAGACTCGAAGTGGTTGACAGAGTTGTTTTGAAGAGGCATGAGATGGAAGATCTACTTGTCCCAGTTTCTGATCTGAAAGCACAAACTGTCTCACACTCTAAAATCTGTGAAAAAGACAGTGAAGATAAGTAATGTGACCACAAGGTGCTACACCCGCCTGCTGTATGGATGCACAAAGTATCAGATATTCATAAATGAACTGACTCAACTCTACAGAATGGAAGGAATTTAAATGCAATGAATATAAAAAAATATGACCCTCCCCTGAACTGTTAAAAAATGCATGACCCTACCGCAAGGCCAAAGTTAAACAAGAATTACCCTCCCCCCCCTTATTTTTCAATATACCCCTTTTCATAAATCGCAAAATGTCCCTCAGGCAAATATTTAGCTGACATGGTCCAGACAGGTAGACTACCTCATTTCTTGGCAGGGCAACTTTAACCTCAACTGAGTATGCCTCTCTAATACCTGGTGCTCTATATTGCAGCCATCCTTCATTCCACAAATAGCCTGATCTAAAGACAAGGTCTCTGTAACGAACAGAGAGGAAATGTTTGCACTGGCCCATGGACAATCTGACTGCCTGACGGAAATGAAGGAAAAACACTGCATAGATTCATGGGATTTGTTCACTGGTGAAGAAATTTACAATTTCTTCATGTTTGTGATGCTGGAAACCTCCGAGCTAGATCAAAGCCACGTCCGCATTTACTCTACTGCAGCACAAAGCATCGCTCAAACATCGCCATGATGAAAACTACCAAGAAGTTCAGGGTTACCTTTCTGGCAATGGTTGGAGGTCCAGCAGCGGTAGTTACGATTGTCATTGAACGTCGTCTGCTGACAAAGAGGGTTATCCTCCATGATCCCCGGGCAGACGTTGTCACATTCCTTTGCCTTCTTGTTCCCGTTGATAACATTGTTGAACTCAGTATTCATAATAAATGACCAGTCCACCGAGTCCAGGTAGCAGAGCTCAGGGTTCTTTTCAATCCTCATGGCCCCACGGGTGATGTTCCTCAGGTTGTAAAGCCCAATGTCTTTTAAGCTGGTCATCTCATAGATCACGAGGGCGTAGTTGTAGAAGAGGTTGTGCCCACGAATGACGCTCAGGTTGGGGAAGAGCACACTGAGGCTATCGAGGCCCGAGACACGAAACAGAAGCAGGTAGCCGGTGATGACGGTCAATTTCGGGAAGCTGACGGAGCGGAAGTCCTCCTGCTGGCTGTTGTTGCTGGTCTTTTCGTTGATGAGGAGGATGCGCAGGTAGCCCTCCACCACCGTGCAGTTCTCAAGACGCTTAAATTGATCGATGTCGTTTCGGAGGTCGATATCCGGGCCACAGACTGCAACACACAGAAAAAAAATCTTTACTGTTTTCTTCTTTGAGAAACAAAGAAAAAGAACAACAGAAGAGTATTACAGTACATATGCATCATATACACAGTTTCAGCAGTGTTCGATGGGAAATACAGCCTGGAGATTGTGTATGCCAAAAGATTTCCACGTAAGTAATCTTCTTGAAACATAATCTTGTTAGTACAGTAAAGTTGGTACTTTGCTGGCAGTTTTTCATATAGGAAAAACAGCATGTTTACACCAAGTTCCTACGCTGCATGAAAGAAATTAATTTATTCTCACTGCTCTCTCAGGAAAGGATTTTTTAAGTGCGACACGGGGGGAGAGGTTCTTACCAAGGTCAGCTGAGGTGAACAGGGTGATGAGAGAAACAGTCGCTTACTTTCACAATAAAGTGCGAGAGTTAACATGTTCATACATCTTTTGTATCACATCAGACAAAAACCCTGCATTTCGTTGGAAGACATGTGGTCCTTCACCTCAGATAACCCCAACATTTAAATAAGCTATTTCTCTGTTCTCGGAAAACAGCACTTGAAACCACAAGGCCTGGAGCATCCCTTCACACCGCACACACACACACACCCATATGCAAACAGACAGAGAGGCAGGCAGGCAGATGCATACACACATACACACACACACACACAATAAAAAAAACTGCATTTTTTATTGACGATAATCGGCTATCCTATTAATTGTGCAAAACAGCAACTACACCAAGGGAAACCTTATCGCAGTGAAACATGCAATTACATACATGCTGTATGCAGTTTTGGATGCGCCAAGTTAGTCATGTCTGTCCCCAGGCGACAAGGTGTCGACAGGTTTTGTTAGAAAAGCAAAAAAACATGCTTCCATGGAGCACTGGAAGTCATGAGTTACTTCACAAGTAACAGTCATCAATCAGCATGAAAATAAAATACAAGACAGTAAATAGATGCTCAGCCAGTCAAAGAAGAAAGCAAACAAATAAATAAATAACTCTTGGTCCTATAATGACACAAAGGAAATTTATAAAGAAAATCCTGGGTATATGATTAGACTTAGATATGACATCTGCTGTACTTGCCTGTTCAGGTAACATCCTACATTGTCTTCAATTCTTTGTGCATACTGAATACCCTTTGAATAGCCCAATGCAAGAAAGGTAAATGCTTCAAAGTAGATTATACAGTCTCACTTCTTCAGCACCTTTGCAAACTTTATTCAAACTTTTATTATTTTTAATCATTTCATAATGTATCAATCTGTTTACCAATTCACTGTTTTTCTGTTCATCAGTTTTCTTAAGCCAACTATTTCGTCCGTTATCACATAATTGTCTTTTTTTAAACTTAGCTATTTAATCAGTTCATATATTAATTTTACCTATTTTAACATTTTACTCCAGTGAAGTTAAAATAGTCCATTTTTAATTCAAACATCCATATTTTACCCATTTCCCCTGACTATTTCGTTCCATTTAGTGATTAATTTTAGAGAAACTGACTATAAATCACATTTTTCTCTATATAGTTTTTTTCACATTCCTTCATACAGCAGCTCAAGTACTCTCTGGGGTAAATACACCAGTGTTTGGGAATCAACTGTCAGTCAAAAAGCCTAAGAGAAATCTTCTGTGAATCTCAGAAAAAGAACAACTAATTCCCTTGCATTGTATGTTAAATCGTTATGAAATCAGAATATCTTCTAGTTGCATTTATATATATTTTTTAACAGTGTCTAAAAGAGGGTTCAACAATCAGCTCAGGAAATGCAATGACATACAAGCTCTTAGGTTAAACCTGTTATGTTCTTAAAGGCGCTTAAGACACCGTCACCGTGAGCAACACGGTGACGGTGTCCATCCAATGAGGCAAACAGACATGTTTTCATTGTCTTGTCAAAACACTGTCTACTGAGAGCTAAAGGATAAAGAAAAGAGCTAAACAGTTTCCACTCCCAGCACGAACACTATGCCTCCAGATTGTTTTTCTAGACTACAGAACAATGACATAGAAATCTAACAAGCATACAAATAGTTCTGTTAGTATATTAACTTCACTTTACTCATGGTTGTTTTTCTGAAAAGAAAAAAAGGGGAAAAAAAGCCATGTTTGATGTGCTTCATTAAAGCTATTCTACCAAAAATAGAAATTGTAATCTTTATGGGGGTAAACGGGCTATATTTGTTCCTGCAGGGGTGTTTCACATGTCCAAATTTAGAACGGAAACAATTACTCCAGTAGAAAATAGTATTTGCTTTCCCCAATCAACACCAATGCCCCTGGGCTCCACTCATGAGCCATCGAGCTGCATGTCTTCTTTGTTTCATTGAGAATTTTCTTCCAGCTTCTCCAGCAGCCGGGGGAAAGAGGGAGGAGGGGTGGAGCCACTCAAATACAAAGACTAATTTGTTTGTTAGTAAAGAGAAACTCTAGGCTCCACTTCCTGATGGGGGCATTAATAAAATCAGGAGGCGTCTGGCCACGGAAGGATAAGATTTCTGCCAAGAATAGCTATCAGGGGCCATCCTGGTGTAAAATGGCAGCAAACAGAAACCGCTATGCAGTAAATGTCTTTCTGAGTGCCGTCGATACAAAGCAGATTTACGCTCACAAAGAAAGCCAGAAAGAATAAAATGAAAGGAATTACACAGACTACCTCTTTGTGATTCCCTTGTTCTACTCATTAGGCATGTTAAGTACCAGGAATTCCAATCATTTCCTTGCAAAAAGACCGAGAAAGACATTGCCTCAAACTAAGCCTCCAGGATTCTCCGATTCTTGCCAGTCAGCTCATTTGTTGCGAAGATAACGATGCTTAAATAAGATTAAGACACCAAATCCTTTATTCATTATTACATACACCAGATACATTTCAGCAACAGCGTCCACATAACATGATAACCCCAAATAACATGCGTCTCCTTCTCTCCTCCCGTGTATCTTTGCTCTTCACACTGCTGAGTAAACACACATATCTTCACAGCGTGATGGGATCCATCGGCTCGTGTTTATGACTGATAAACCTTGCCCTGTCTCTCTGTGGAAATGTCATCACACAAACACACGCACACACCAGCACAAGCACGTGCACGGTCAAACGTGTCCCCGTCGAATGAAATCGAGGCAAGTGGCTGCCGTTTATCTCAGCTTCACGTAAAATCAGATTCGGATCCAGTAAACATACCTCACACGTAAATAAACGCCATCTCGGTTTTGGCTGAGAGAAAAAAATGAGATAGCAATCTGGGACCACATGCCGTGCTGTTTATCAAAAGGCCACAAACTGAGCTTTCTGGGAAAACACTTGTATTGGAACTGTATCCTTTATCAGACATCCAGCTGTAAACTCCGGGAAGGTTATTAGGGAAGACTCCTCTTCCCTGTGTTTATTTTGAAGCGATTTTAAGGGTCCCGAAAACTCTGTGACCCCTGCAGTTACTGACATAAAGTTGTTGGTGGGCTCTGTGCAAAGTGCAAGCAGGGATGCATAGAACTGTTTCCATTGTGGATTAATCATTAATTATAACACAAAAAGAGGAAGAAGAACGACAGTCTTAAAGGAAATTGTAAAAACAGAGCATGTGGGCAGAAAGAAATGTTTGCAGACTTTAACAGACAACTTAAAACACTCAATTACCAGTCTGCTGACTTCCATTGAATATTCTGCACTTCTTGTTATTTAAAATCTGCATTTTTTTATTCTTATTTGAATTCCAGAAAAAAGCCCATGTTGATCATATCGTGTTAACTACCACTTTTATTAGTGTATATATACTGAGCCTAGGTTAGCTGAGATTTCCTATTTCCCTCTCATTTAAGGCCAATCATAAAGGGTCTGGTTTTATTTTCAAGGGTTGCCTAGCAACCAAAGGCGCTTATAGCAAATGATCAACTTCCTGAAATTGTGTTTTTCCAAAATTATATGAATTCTCAACCAATAAAATCAGTATGATCATTAAAAGGTTCGAACGGTGAAGGAGTTGGCCACTTTGCTGTCCTATCCCCTCACACCTGCCACATCAACTGGCTCTAATCCCCAGCATACTGGAAGTCATCTGACCAGCAGTGTTGTGGACCGTGTCCACTCAATGGACCTTACTTCAATCACTGTGGCTCAGATTTCACCAAAACCCCAAATGGTAACATTACCCATCACAACAACTCTCAGACAGGCACTCCCCCTCACCCAGAATGAGGGAAGAGGGCAAGAGGTAACAGGCTGTGTTTACATACACACTGCACACGCTCAAAACAGCAATATGAATTTGCAGTGATGTAATTTCTTTAAGGAGGGAGTGTGAAAACCTATAGAGAATTTGAAAACTAAGAAAAATGTCATCCGAAGGATTTTGATTTAATGTCTGGAAAAGATGGATGTAGACAATTTGATGTCACTTCTTGTGATGGAGCTTAGTGCTGACGGCCTCAGCCTTCACCACCTCTGTGGTTTGAAACCAGATGTGACGAGCATGAAAGTTAGACCTGACTACGAAACCGAGGGGAACTGCACACTGATGTGGTAAAGATCACTCAGGCACAGTTGTTTTTGTATTAAAAGACAATGACTTTGAGGTTTCAAGTTCATGTCTCACCTCTTGGCACCTTTTTGGACACTTATTTTGAAGTTACCTAAAGTAATAGTATTTTAAATGTTCACCTGATTTTGCCCCAAAATACAGTTTTAAAAATATATCTTTTTTCATTAGTTCTTTGACTGTCAGCTTCACTCTACAGCCTTCTGGTCTGCTGCATGTATAAAAAAAATGACCTACGTAAAGGAATATAAAGTAAAATGCAGTGTTATGATCTTTAGTGTTTAACACTCAACAGATTAATATGAGTATAGAAAAGGCTTCTTGTAGACATTCTGGGATCCTCCGCACCACGGAGGATAGATCAGCACTCTTTTTAAACAAACAGCTTTCTACTGATAAAGCGAGTGCCATCCATTAGAAGAGCTAACATTTGCAATCATCATCTCGCAAATTGTAAAATACTCTACGGACCATTAAACCGGCAGCCAATGATGATGTATGTGCAGTCGGACGGATACTGCATTTGAGCAAATCCAGTGACATGCCACTTGAAATAAAGTGTTTAATTAAGCATTGTAAACCTCAGCTGGCAGCCTGGAGGAGCGGTAGGCCAGCATTTGACTGCACTCTCACAAACTAGCCCAGTGACACACTTTTACATCCTTACTCAGGGGCACGCCACTGACTCAGGCTGCCACGCTGAGTCCTGCTGCAGTACACACTCGATGCTGCACAATAAACTTGCATGTGTGCACACAACACAGGGCTGTGAACGCTTGTCACACTCTTTTGGTGCAGTGTGACTAGGCATTCCTGCATCCAGTCTCCAGGAAGACCTAAAGGAAGTGGGGGGGCTTTATGTAACCACAAAGTACACCTTAGAGCAGAGTGACAGCAATCATATCTGAGCCACTTACCCCGTCATGACAAAGAGTGCTGAACTTCAAATATGCCATACCCCAAAGGGAAAAGTAGGAGGGGTGCCTGTCAAACACAGTGTTCACTGATGCTTGATTATTTATTCCGTCATTCAGGTTTTTTCCGAAGCAACATGTTCTTTCATAAATAACTGAACAGGAACACTGGTGTACCCGCACGGAACAGGACAGCGGGTGCTTGTACTTACACGACCCCACTTTTGCCAGTGACATATCTATTTATAACTCTAATAGCAGTGGTGCCAAGTGATGAAGTTAAGCGCATCAGTCTGCATACGAGACCGCTCCGTGCGAACAGCACAAGCCAATAAAACAGTTCACAAACTCACTACTATTCCAATCAACAAAACCGAGTCTGTTTCTCTTTCAAGAGTATTTTTGCACAATCTATTTCCAAACACCGAGTCTCTATCGCCCTCACACATTCCCTTTAGACTTTTAGAGACTTGTTTGCTGCGCATTTCGACGCCATGGCATGGAAAGTTTACTGTGGCGAAAGTTAAAAAGTAGTTTAATTGCATTTTATTGGTATGGACAGATTACAGAAATGAAGAGAGCAAAGAAGGTTTTTACCCCCTAGTGGAGCACTGGAAATTCTGTCCCTCTACAACCCGGTGAAGTAAACATCATCCTCGAGTGATACATTTGCATCTCCAATGTTGTCCGCAGCCTTTGTTATGAAATTCTTTGTTCCATGAGTTCTGATGTATTATGCACCACAGAGAGCCGAGATCTGAGGGCAACTGCCTATCTTCCAACCCTCAGATGTGCTTGTGGCCTTCAGAGGGGGAGAACATGACTGTGGTACGACTACCGTGTTACTTTTATTTTTCTTCCATTTCCATATAAACCGAGGTCAGACTATCAGTTTCCTTACTTATCAAGATATAAAGCATATGCAGCGTAGCTGACAAACACATTCAACTCAAGCACAATTGATGGGCTCAAAGCAGAGAGATGCAATTGATGTGAGGCGGGCAAAAGAGCAACTTGTGGTGATGGGTGTGCCAAACAGACTTAATGTATATACGAACAGCAGATCATGATGATATGATAAACTGAAAGTTTTTTACAATTCAGATTATTGGCGTAAACACCACCAAAGAAATAAAGATTTGAACTAAAGGGGAAAAAATCGAAATGAACTCCATGACTATCTCTGTTTAATCTGGGAAACTTGATGCAAAGTGTCACAAGAAGCTTTACTACAAAAAGCTGGAATGCTTAATCCTCTCTATCATTCAATTTCTTTAGTTTTTCCTTTTTTTTATTTTTCAAAAACTAATTTCTTTGTGCATTTGAAGCAGAAGCTTTTGCCTTTGAAAACCAAGACAATGAGCCATTAGATATAAACACACTCCATACAGCCAGGGACTGGAGAGGGAACCCTCTTTGACCCCCATTGATCAGCTGTTCTATTTTAGCACTGGCAAAAAGCAGCCTTGACTGTGGCAGCTCTCAGTACATTACACAGGATTAGATCAGATTAGATTTATATGTAGATATAAACAAAAACAGTTTTTATTTTATATGATTTATCATCCTATTCTAAATTTAAACCATGAAAACAAACTTTTACATCAATCAAAGGCAACAAAAGTGGGCAGACTCCTGTGAAATCCTGCCATTTATAAAACTGAATACTTGGGAATAAACTGAATACACTGGGTCCTACAAACCCTTTTGATTTTTTTTTAACTTTTACCCGCCTTTAAGGGTTAATTAGCATTAAGTGCACACATTTTCACGTCATGCCAAAGAAAATTACAACGTTATTTGGATGGTTAGTATAACGTCAGCGGACATTTCTTGCGTTTTACAAAAGAGCACGCTGTTAAGGCTGGATTTATGTGTCTGGCGCTGCTGTATTTCAATACTTTCATTAGTTAACAGTGCACAGATCTATACAAATGTAACAATGTTTCACTTTTTTTATTTTTTTAAATTATATTTAGATATATAGGCACTCTTCTGGCATTTTACATTTTAAGAATCAAGGGATCGCCAGATTTTTTTAAAAAAATAATTGGCTGTTCGTGTGCAGCGACGCCACACTACGAAATGTAAAATGGCCACATGGTCGTAGTAACCTTCAGCTCAGCTCCCTGGCTTCATCCCGTGCTTTCTGGATGTCTAATGTCAAAAATCACACCGGTGTCTGCTTCCATGTCTTTACGCGTTTCTCGATAATCATGACAGTTTCATCAAATAAGACGATATTACGCACAACAGTGACTGTATTTGGTTAAATGCGCGCATCAACTGACGGCAGCTATACCACATGGTCCTCTTCAGATAGCATAAGTAAGGAGCACAAGTCGGTTTTGTCGCATTCCATCGTTTTGTCCAACTACAGGTATTCACTCTGATTATTTTGCAAATAAAAACAATAATTGCAGCTAACGCATATCCTCCACTAGTGGGGAAAAAAGGCGTTTATGCAAGAGGTTAAACTGGGTTACAAAAGCAAATTATGCCTTTAGGCCTATTCCTGCTCAAGCGACATGTTCTTCATAAAAACAATATTGATTAGAACTAAATACTTACTCTCTCCATATGTGGACCATATGCAGATAGTGGAGACAGACAGCATCAGACCCCAAAACAAGATCGGGCCACCCATCGGTGCTTCTGATTTTACGTTCCTGAACATTATTCTCCTCTTCAAGAAAAAATAAAAATAATGAGAGTAAAAAGGAAGTAAAAATATTTAAGTTGTGCACATCAGCTCAATAAATCAGAGCCTTCTCACTAAAAAAAATTTTTAAAAAAGGAGAAAAAGAGAAAACAAGTGCCTCGTAGCCCAAAAGCTTCTGATATCCTGATGCGTGGTCGCTTATCTGTCTGGATTTGCTCTAAACATATATATAAATGTGTACAAAAAATATTTAAACGTTGGGGGGTGGAATACTAAAACACTCTGCTATTTTTGCCAGTCACAGGATGCTTTGACGTTGGCTGGTATGGCACACAAGCCATGATTTTACTGAATAAATGATGGCAATCCCCATCTTCATTCTCCATCTCTTAAAAACAGCATGCGCGTAGCCTACACAGCGCGACCAGGCCCGTTAATACAACAACAAAAAAAAAATCAGACTTAAATCTTAGCAGCCTTTACCACCATAATAAATTAAAGCCAGTGTCGCTCACAAGAATCCCCCGTGTGAATAAGTGTGTGTGAGGAGGTGGTGGGCTGAAAACGCGTACAGATCCACAGGGGTGGTGGCTGTGAGGTTGAAAAATGAATGAAAAACCTGTTTTTCCGTATGCTATTCAAACAGCAGGGTCTATCGACCCCCCCAAACCAAGCAGTCCTGGCTCGCAATGAGAAGTTGCTTTAAAAAAAAAAAAAAAAATCAGCAAATTTTCAGCCCCTCAGCTCCGACTTATCTCCGCCGTCAGTCGGGATTTGCAACTGAAAGAAAATACCAGACTTGTGCCACGCAAGAGAATGGGTCTCCAGCTCTCCGGCTAGACGACCTCGGCTGGAGTGGGGAGGGAGAATATGTCTAAGGAGTTGCTCTCCAAGAGTGTTTCTTGTTTTGCCTTTATAGCTTCGCACAAAAGAGAAAAAGAAAAACTCCCGTCGCGTGTGTATCCACAGGCTGAAATCCCACGGTCCGCCCTCGGTTAAAGCACACTACGGGTCTCCGCCGCTCCTCCGTGGAATCGCTGCTGTAAACAAGAGTCGGCTTCTCTCACACAGAAACACAAAGTGTTACGGATAAGGTGGTCGGGAGCAGGATACAAAAAACGGAGCGGATTTAGACCCGGCGTGTCTCGAACGACGGGGCAACCCAAACAAAACACACACACCCCAGCCGGATGTGAGTGGGAACACTTTTCTGCTGTCCCAGCTTCTAAACTTCATGTCATTGTTGAGAACAGTGACTCCCATGTTATTTAATACACCTTACCCCACAATATGGGCCACTAATTCCGTCATACATTAGCTAATTGTTTAACTACTACTTAATTAAGTATTTCATGTCACTTAGTGGACTCTTTCATATGCGTATCATTAGGTTTAGTCAGATATTTCGTTTCTGCTGTTAGTTAACAACTTAAGCGGTTCATGCGGCTGTTTCAGATCTTAAATATTTAAAAGTGATCATTAAAACCACTAGTCCTACCTTTAGATTACGTTTTTTACAATATTTGAAACATCTGTGGCTCCTCCCACTGGGTTGCTTTGACATTATTTTGGTTAATCCTTAATTTTTCTGATGCTGTCAATTCTTTACATTAAATTGTGTTGTTTGTTTATTTATTTGTCCTTCTTACATATTTCCTGCATCCTACAGAAGTACTCAGTGGAGTTCTTGTAGAGCTTTAGCTTTTAAAAGAAGCAAACAAATTTTATTACCTTTTCCTGAGTTGATCCTATTTGTATAATTCAAATATCCCAGTCATTTGAATTATATTGGCCACATAAGTGGTTTTCAACCTGAGGGCTGCAGGCAGCTCTCGCCCATCTCACCAGATTTCCAGCACATTATTTTTTTTACTCTTCCAGTAATGAAGACAAATGAGTATCTGTGACATATTTATATAAATTGGGCATTTTGTCTGTGAGGCAATAACTGAAAAGGTGGTTTGTTTTTAAATGCCAGTTAGGTCGTTTTTTGTAATCATTATTTTAAGGTGGTATAGCAATAAATGTTCTTTTGTGTAACAAACTGAAGGTTAGTTCAGTGTAAGAATTTGGCTTTTAGGACAGAGGAACAGGCACAAAGTTATTTTTTTTTTATTGTCAGTTAATGTGTCCTTTGCCTAACAGAGCTTTGAAACATTTATCTCAGTCAAGGTTAAAGAAGTTTTACATTTTGTAAAAAGAATTAGGTGGGATAAGATATATAACGTTGTTGGCACACAAATCATGGATTACTTCAAAGAGTGCACATTGTTGACTGAATAACTTTGTGCTCCAGAGCGAGTCAAAAGATTACAATGTTTACAGTTACAGTGAGAGTTTAGCCCTGAAGAATTTTGCCTTTGTTTTATTATCCAAGTACAGACACATCTTATTTTTCTGTTTAGTTTAAATATGCATACATATCTTACTCCTCTGGATTTGTTCATAATAATTTTTTCAAAAGGTAAGTAAATAAATATTTGTGAATGATGTACTAAATAAATATGTTTTTCTTTGTTGTAGGAGGGAGTGAATAATTGTACTGCATGTTTCACTTCATTTTAGCTGATTAGATTATGTTTGGGTGGTTTCACTGGTTACTAACATCCTCGTAGTTACCCTTTATCACCGTTGGATTTCACTTGTAATAAGAGGTACTGACAGGTGATGAAATTAATTTTTAATACTAGCTATATTTCCTACATATTTTCCTTTATAATATGCATTTTGCTGGGCTAAAAACAAGATCGGCAGGTCTGCTCAATGAAGTGAAATGTGGACTTTAATTTTTTATGGCTTTTAAACTCGTCTTTTCGCAGGTCACTGCAGATTTGTCTAAGATTGAAAGGATCACATTCGAGTAACTCAGCTGACGACTCTTATGTGTGACAATGTTTCATATGGTTCAGAGTAGAAATCTTTTACACTGTTCTGTTCATGAAACTGTCTGATTTAATACACTTTAAGGGTTGCAGGACTTCTGGCATACAGGGGACGACGTTCAGTGTTTTGAAGTCTATTTAGTGCTCAGGAGCTGTACCATAGGTTACGCTGCGCACTATCGTCACGGGTAGGGTAAAAAGTAAAATCCGACATGGACATGTAGTCAAGCGGGGACTTGAGTTGTGCTTTTATCTTTCATTCATCCAATACACGCAGCAGACAACACGCTGTGCAAGGAGCGTGGTTATCGATCCATACCGCACAGCATCCCCTAACTGGGAACATGTGAGCCTAACTAAGGTTAACTCCAGCGGATATTTGTAATTAGTTTTCATTTTGAATGAAAGCGGGTTGTCTTTTATCTCCTTGTTCCTTTACATTTTGATTTACGAACGAAATTAACGATGTCGTTGCAATAAATACTATGAGCTATGAATTATAAACAGCAGCATCACTGATCTTTATTTGGGAAAAGGAACTGCTGACTTATGCTTGCTTCTCATTGTATTTTCAAATAAAGCTACATGTATTATAGTAATGGAGTCCTTTAGTTGCGTAAATATGTGATATGATATGAAAATTAGCAAAAACATATTACAAAAACAATAATAATTAAAAAAAAAAACCTCACACATGCTTGACAATCGTAAAATTCCGGACATGTACTGCAATGTTTTCTAATGAGAAGCGGCGCAGTTTTTTTCAGTTACTGTATGGTGCTGTGGTTGCTGAAAAGGGTGTTTAGTTGTCGCCCTCTGCTGGAGAAACGTGCGTATTATATTAAAATTATTGTGGAGAAACTAAGTATGCTTGTTCCTCTGCTTGGTAGCGTAGATCAACTCGGTGTATTTAGGCATGTAGATGTCATGAAGACGACCTGCTGATGTTGAAACCAGCCATCAGAACAGGGAAGAAAGGTGATTTAAGTGACTTTGAATTTGTTGGTGCTGGTCTGAGTACTAAGGAAACTGCTTATCCAATTGGATTTTCCCACATAGTCATCTCTGGTGTTTATGGAGAATGGTTAAAATGAGAAAACATCCAGACAGCGACAGTTCTCTGTTCTCCGTGTGAAAATGCCAGAGGTTTAACTAGAACAGCCAGATTGCTTTGATTTGATAGTAAATCAACAGGTGGTAGTGTAGTAATAGTGGATTAAAAGTTAATGGGCACATTTTAAACCCTTTAGTGCTATGTGAGAATTGTTCAAATGCCAAAGCCTACCTGAGTATTGTTGCTGACCATGTCCATCCCTTTATGACTGCAGTGTCTTTATCTTCTGATGGTTGCTTCCAGGAGGATACCACGCCATACTACAATCTCTAATCATCTCAAACTGCTTTCTGGAACATAACAATCCACCAAATTGAAAAGCACCTTTGGGATGTGGTGGAAAGTTGAAAAGGGAAAGTTACGTCATGGATGTGGAACCGACAAATCTGCAGCAACAATGTGATGCTGTCATGTGAATATGGACCAAAATCTCTGAAGAATGTTTCCACTGTCTTGTTGAATCTATGCCATGAGGAATAAAGGCAGTTCTCAAGGCAAAAGCAGGTCTAACCAGGCATCAGGAAGGTGTACCTATAAAATGTCTGGTCTACAATTCTCTATTGACAATTAGGTTTTCCTCAAAGAAGACTCATTTCTTCATTGCCTGTTTCTGTTTTCTCCCCAAACACTCCCAAAAGAATCAGAGCACTGAGGAATTACTTGTTGATAGAAACCCAGTTCCAAAATTGTGATGTTTAAAGTGTCTTTTAACATAAGAAAGCAAGTACAGAGTTTTTAGAACATAAGAAGATACCATGAAGTTTCAACATCAGCTTGTACGCAACTAGACCTGTAAAAAGTCAGCTGTAAACATGTCAAAGGATACTGGTCGTTACAAGCCATGTGGCGAACTAATGATGATATTACAGCCCACAAAGGTTTTTGAGGCTGTATGGGAAGCCATCATTAGTAACCTATTATGCATTGCACATGGATTATAATATGGGCTATAGAATTTTAGTCACATTACTGCATTACACACGTTGCCACAAATTGAACATAAAATATAAATGACAGCATGTCATCAGCCCATTTTCCCGCATCCTCCAACTTAAGCTTTCCTATCCATCCATTTGTTACCATTTTATTTTTCTGTTTTTGTAACAGCATGCACATATTTTTTTAATCAAAATTATATTATTAAAACTAAAATTATTATTGTTCTTCTCTGGGAATTTTCCATTTTTTCAGTTTTACCAAAAAAAATAGCAAAGCACATTATGATTTTTTAAAACTATATTAGTGAATATTTTTCAGTATTTTTTGAAACCCACGAAATAAAACACACCACAGCAGGAAGCAAAAGTGTCGCAGTGCTGAAATGGTTCCAGCATGGTGATGCAAAAAAACAATCCACCTTAAAAAAAAGTGCACAAAGTAAATGTAACATCAATGCAAAAGAGACATTCTGATTTAGACAATGTAAGTAAAGGACCATACGCTGGATAAGTGATGTGAAAAATGGTTACAGGTTACATTGAAAATTTTTTTTAAAATCCAACTAAATGCTATATTGACATTTAAACTTCCTTATATTTTGCCAGTATTTCTGATAATCGGTGTACCACTGCATAGGTCACACATTAAATACACTGCACTGAAATCAAGTGAACTATCGCTATAGACTAATTTCAGTCCTTTAGCTCTAGAACAAAAAGACAATCTGTTTTATTTTTTGCTTTTTTTAGAGTCCTGACAATTCACTTGTTGTTACAGAAACATTTGACTGTGCAACAATATAAATCTAGCTTTGTAAAAAGTGAGACCTGCACAACAGATTAAATGTGCCATTTAAAGGAGCAGTGTGTAGAATTTTAGTGACATCTGGTGATGAGGTCGGCATTACAACCAACTGAGCAGCCCTCACTTTAGCTACCAAAGCATCTTTTCAAGCATGCAGTAAAAACTAAAGTGGCTGCAAAGCCTTAAAAAATGTTGTTACTTACCCACATCCCCTGGATTTATCCAGAGAAAGTAACATCACAGCAAGCCCTGCTAAAGTTGTAACAAATGCAAAAGACTCTCTCTAGAGCCAGTGTTATTATT